GTACTCCCTGAATGTAGAGGGGTGTGTTACATATCATGGACCGTCATAGAAATGCCTTTTTCAGCTCCAAAAGCTATATTAAGACCAATAAGCTATGTGTGGGGTGTGCTATAGTGTAGTGGTCTCCAAACAGTGGTCCGAGGGCCGGATGTGGCCCTTTGCTAGCCTTTATCCAGCCCATGGGTCACTATACCTCCCAATGATATGAGGCACTATTCCTTCCACTGACACCAACAGTGGGGCACTATTCCTCCAACTGATACCTACAATGGGGCACTATTCCTCCCACTGATACCAATGATGGGGCATTATTCTTCCTCCAACTAACTACCAACCCTGAGGCGATGTTTATTCTCACTGATGCCAGGCTTGGGAAATTTTCTACCCCCACTGGCCACAATCCAGCCCCCCTAAAGGCTGAAGGACAGTAAACTGGCCCTTTGTTTGAAAAGTTTGGAGACCCCTACTGTAGTGTCTACTTTTATATGACATCTCTATATTACACTCGTTCTTGTAACGAAATAAAACTTTGCTGCTTTATACTAGCAGAAAGTTAAAATCAGCCTTACAGTGGGAGTGCCATCTATGAAGGCTGAAGTGTATAAAGGGGAAATGTTTAGGTAGGCTTAGAGCAGAAGAGCTCAGGGTTGATGATACCAATAGCAGGCAAGGAAGGAGGGAGGGTAGGAATGCAGAGTACTGCAAACTGCAGCCTGTAATAAATGTTGATGACCTCCTAACAGCATGTAGCCATCTCTAAACCATGAGCATTAATTTACAAACCTTTTGCAGGTAACACTGTTACTGTAGATACCAGCTGGTGAGTGTATTCAGCTATATGAATAAACCTGCCTTTTCACTAAAAACATTAAGAATAGTAACACAGAAGCTGCAGAGGATGGTTTGCTGCACCAACTGTATGACTGTGAATTGGTGAAGATGTTGTAACTGACACCAGTGACCCAGGCAGAAAATCATCACTTATTAGGGAAGATGAGAAGAATATTTGCACCTTCCAGCAACCTTTCAGCGAGGAACTCACACTGGGTGTCTATTACTCATCTGCAAGATACGCAGACGCACTGCGACACCCCAGGACATCCAATTCTACATCCAGTAACTCGACAGCTGATGAGATGAAGGATGACCCGTGACACCACCATAACAGACGTGCAATAACATGACTGCTATCATTTCCCGATGACCTCCGCTCGTTATTACTCCACGAAACAGGAATTTAACCCACAGCAAAATGAGGTTTCATTAGTGTTAATTCACTTTGGGTGAGAAAATGTAATTGTTTTTTTTTTTTCATGTTATGTATGTGATTGTGCCAAATGGAGGGCTAGCACTGAAAGTAAAGAGAGCTAGTCAACATGGGGATTGTGCAAGGGTGTGAATATTAATTCTTATAACATATCTAAAGCCAATCTTTAATTTGTTTAATAACTTTAACAAATCCTCACTGACCTCTGACACTGCAAGCACAGTGAAGATATTCATCTGAAAATTTCACAAAAGACGCACTGAAATTGCAGCTTCTCTCCTCTAGTTTTCTCTGGCAACAGGGACTTTGAAGCCTGTCGGCCTTCGAATGTGAACACAAATGCTGTAAACTGTTAGAAATCCACTGTGATTCAAAATAAAGGATTTTTCAGACCATGCCACTGTGGCAGCATGCTCTACCACGCCACTGTGGCAGCATGCTCTACCACAGTACTGCAATGCACCTTAATGCACCACAACCCATCCCATGTGGGGTGCTGCATCTTGAAGAAATGCAGCCTTTTGCAGTGCAGTATAGTCCATTTGTTTAAAATGGGCTATAATGCAATGCACTGCAACACTCCTGATTAAAAGAAAAAAAAAACAAGGCTGTTGCAGTGCACTGCATTCTGGTGTGAATGGGTCTAAGGGTTTCAGTTGTCGTATTTGAGGATGAATTACTCCACAGTGCCTGAAGCTCCTGTGAGCAGCCACAGTTGGCTGCACAGGCAAACCGTTCTCAGTGAAGCAGAGGAGAGTTGTTGCATATCTGGAATAGACTGTTGTTTCTAATTAGATATTTGGCAATCCCAATAATACATCATATAAAAGTTGTTAATACTATTCATAGAAATAATGTGTATTTTTTTTTATTTTTGTGGAATTCCACTTTAAGATCCTAACATACATAGTGGAAGAAGACAAGGGCACGGCTACATTGGGCTGAATAGTAAGTGTGGTGTACAGTTTACGTCTACCATTAGTATACACTGTACAAAGTTTGCTGTCTTTGTACCCACAAAATACCCCTTCTAGGCTCCAGGGGCACAGCCCAGATACTTGGATTCCTAGGCTGCTGTTCCATAGTCAGGGTACAGGTGCACTTTAACTAAAAGGTTACTTTTCTTAGCTTGGTCTTACTCCCCCACTGCCAAGAAATCTTTCGGGAGCCCCAAAATGTCCTATAATGTCAAAAGTTACACAGGGTTGAGCAATCATCCTGCTGCCCATGTGATAGCAATCTACGCTGGTGGGCAGAAAGGCCCCAAATCCAGAAGTATCAGGTATATGCACAGACTCTGAAGGCAGATACTTGCAGCAGCCCCCATGTAACCCTGACTTTTCTAATATTATTCAACCAAAGCACCTCTAATGAAACTCACAAATCATGCTTGGATATTGTGCTTACGCGTCGCTGCACTGTTAGAGCGAGGTGACCAGGTTTTCTATACTTCATTATTAATGAATTTAGTGTAAAAAAAAAAAAAAAAAAGGATGGTTTCCAGGTTACGGACTTGAGCTCTCAAATGCTGTGAGAAAATCCCGTGTTCTCTCTCCGGTCTCTGCCACGAACACAGCTTGGTGTGTTTGCAGAAGTACTGCAAGCCTGCGCTTGGTGAGCAACTACATGCCCTGATAGGGTGTGCTGGAAATACAGTTCTGCAGCTGCTGGGGGTCCAAGATTGGAAGAGAAATAGAGCCTGCTTTCTTAAAGTGTATGGGAACCCTAGCATTAACAGGTACATGCATAGACAAGTAAGTAGCAGACCAGGTTTTTTTTAAAACAACGAAAAAATTATATTTATTTTTTTTCTGCTCTTCTGCAAAGCAGTAGGAGAGGCATCACCCTTTAAGTGGAAGTGCAAGTAACTGGCATGATCAACAGAAAAATATCAAATACAAATAAAAAACACAGTTTGTGATACGGAAGAGTTAGTTGTGCTACAGTTTATTATTTTAGGGGTTTTTTTTCGTGGAAAAAATAGCATATTAAAAAAATATTTTAGCATATACTATTGCAACAAAAATCATATTGTATTTGAATCTTATTAAAAATGACCTTTCTTTTTCAATCCGCAGGGTTGTAATTTTCTGTAAAATAAAATGCGATATAGCAACCTGGAGATGTTTTGTACAGAGATGGTGTATGGAACCCCCCCCCAGAAAAGTCATTTCCGGCTCCTGTGATTGGTTTACTGATTTTCACAGAAGTCTGCACTAAGATACAAATCAGATTTTGGGCATCCCCTGCAATAAAAATTTAATTTTGGTGAGATTCTCACAAAGGGAATATTATATAAAAGAATACATATAACTCAAAATACTGCGCTATAAAACAATCTATACAAATGTGTCTACCGTAAAACCGAATAGCAAATAATCTCTAGATAATATGCCAATGATATCAATATTCATAAATATCGTGTACATCTGAAATCAATAGCTTCCATGGTCAATGCAAACATAAAGCAAATTGTATAAAGCAAGTGCACAGTGAAAGTAGTGACTGTACAAACAGTCCGTTTGAACTAAAGTCCTCAGTGCAATGAAGCCACATCCAACTGTGAAAAGGCCATCAGTGAAATCCTTCACCAGTATGCCCGCACCAGAATGAAGATCAAATCAGCTTCAAAAAATGATACTCCAGTTCATTCAGTACTCCTCCTCTTGGGGCTGGTTAGGAGCCATCAGAAATGTTCCCTGTTATGTCAGCTCATCCAGAAAATAGAGGCAAGCCTGGAGCCGCGCTCACTTCCCGTTCCGTCCTCAGCCGGTGAGCTCTATACGACCCCATTGACTTCCATCCACTGGAATCTCACGATGGAGGACAGAACTCCACAAATACAAAATGTCGGCAACCGTCCTTCTAATCACTATGTAACTTGTTAATCACAGCCAGTGAACCAATGAGAAGAGAGAAGGGGCGGGGCTGAGACGTGACTCCATGTGCGAATGAACACACAGAGCAACGGCGCCCCATAGCAAGCTGCTTGCTGTGGGAGAGCCGGACAGGAAGGAAGGGCCAGAAGAGCCTGCGGGGGACCCGAGAAGAGGAGGTTCCGGGCTGCTCTGTGTAAAACCAGTACACAGCAGGTAAGTATATACATGTTCGTTATTTTTAGAGAAAAAACAATTTAAGCCTTTTTAGTATCGCTTTAAAATCTGAACTTCAGGGGTTGATTTACTAAAACTGGAGAGTGCAAAATCTGGTGCAGCTGTGTATTGTAGCCAATCAGCTCTAACTTCAGCTTGTTCAATTAAAGTGATACTAAACACTCACAGTTTAATTTACTGTATTTTTCGCTCCATAAGACGCGCCTAGGTTTTAGAGGAGGAAAACAAGAAAAAAAAAATTCTGAACCAATGGACTGCAGACATAGTACCAGAGACTGCGGATGTACTACAGGAGATGACCAGAGACTGCAGATATTACTACAGGAGATGACCAGAGACTGCGGATATTACTACAGGAGATGACCAGAGACTGCAGATATTACTACAGGAGATGACCAGAGACTGTGGATGTACTACAGGAGATGACCAGAGACTGCGGACATTGTACAGGAGATGACCAGAGACTGCGGACACAGTACAGGGGATGACCAGAGACTGGGTACATAGTACAGGAGATGACCAGAGACTGGGTACATAGTACAGGAGATGACCAGAGACTGGGTACGTAGTACAGGGGATGACCAGAGACTGCTGACATTGTACAGGGGTTGACCAGAGACTTCGGACATACTACGGGAGATGACCAGAGACTGCGGACACAGTACAGGAGATGACCAGAGACTGCGGACACAGTACAGGAGATGACAAGAGACTGCGTACATAGTACAGGAGATGACCAGAGACTGCGTACACAGTACAGGAGATGACCAGAGACTGCGGACACAGTACAGGAGATGACAAGAGACTGCGGACACAGTACAGGAGATGACCAGAGACTGGGACACAGTACAGGAGTACAGAGAGACACAGTACAGGAGATGACCAGAGACTGGGTACATAGTACAGGAGATGACCAGAGACTGGGTACATAGCAGAGATGACACACATAGTACAGGAGATGACCAGAGACTGGGTACATAGACCACCAGAGACTGGGTACATAGTACAGGAGATGACCAAACTGGGTACATGCGGAGACATACTACAGGAGATAACCAGAGACTGCGGACACAGTACAGGAGATGACCAGAGACTGCGGACTTTTGGGGAACGGGTATCCGAATTTGACAGGTACCCGCTCCCACCTATGCTGACTCGGACTCCTCCTCTTTTCTGCCGCAGAAGAGTTGAGTGGCCGGCCCGGTATTCTAACATGGTGGCGGCTGATTGTTGTCCTGGTAAATATTTGCTCCATAAAATGCACAAACATTTTCCCCCATTTTTTTTGGGGGGGGGGGGGGGGAGTATGTCTTATGGAGCGAAAAATACGGTACATTGTTCCTTCTATTTCTGTATATGGATGATGGCACATTTTAATATAAAAAAAGAAAAAGGTACCTTTTTCCTAATTACTATACTGATGTCAAGTGACCCATATGTGGAATATAGTAAAAATAGAATTTTTTTTATTAAACTGTTTTAAGACATCATACAAATATATACATTAAATCAAATCTTTATTATTTTTGGCAATAACATGGTGTAGGTGGATTTCTGCCAGTCACAGGTTGTGTTACGCCCCCTAGCCTGTGTACTAGAATAGCAGGGAGATAAAACCTCCATCAATCAAGATTTAATATCCACCCCCCATTTTGCTTAGCTGGCTAGTAGGAAGATTGGGCTGTCATTTACCATTCTGTATAAGCCCACATGTGTGACTCTATAGTCTTTGGGAGTCATGCTTGTAACTGTCAATCTTGCAATGCCTCATGGGACATGTAGTTTGGCAACAGCTGGAGGGCCGCCAGTTTGACAACTGTGACCTAGGCAATAGTAGCGGAAGTGGGAGCGTGTACCTGTCAAATTCGGGTACCCCCCCTTGCTCCCCAACAGTGCCAATCCTTAACAGGGAGTAGAGTATGAAGCCTTAAAGCGAAATATCCCCTTTTGGGTGGAGCTCCACTTTAAGTACATTTTTAACATTTCTTTCTTTATTGGTGCGCTTTCTGTGAAGTTTTGCTTGCTTGGGGGGAAATAAAGAGCTGTGCGGGCACTGTGCTTGCATGACTCCTCTGAACAGCTCCTAATTAACAGAAGTGGAGCAAGCCTCTTTGTTAATTGGGGGCAATCAGTTCTCTTTTCTGTGGCAGACACAGCCCATAGGAATAGAACGGAGGTCCAGGGGCAGACTGACCATTTGGAAACTCGGCACTGCCCGAGGACCCGGGGTCAGTAGGGGGCCCCATGAGATGCCCCTGGTACCTTTTTCATAGGCTTTTTTGAGTTTGGGCAAGGACACAGGGGCCCCATGATCCCCTATTGCCCGGGGGCCCCAGGAGTTGTCAGTCCGCCCCTGCGGAGGGCTGGAGCTGCATGCTCCAGCCTCTCTGCCTGTCCCTGGCCCTACTCATCTAGGAGCGGGTAGGAGGAGGGTTGTTAATGTTTCAGGCTCCTCTAATGTAGTGTAATCAGTGCACAGACAGAGAGAGGGGGACGTGAGCTATCTGCTAACAGCTGACATCTCTTACAACCAGGTCACATCTGTGGCGGTTTTCTATATTGAAAACTGCCGTATTCCTTCTGTTAATCAGTTTCAGACCTGACACAGGTCTATCTGCTCTGTTTATGTGCCACATGTCACCTGTGACAGTTTCCATTGTAGTGGTGTTTAACATGCCTTCTACCTATTTATTATGTAATATAACTATTTTTTATCAACCTCAAATTACAGACTTTGAGTCTGTCAGTGAAATGGTCCAAGAATGGTTGCAAATGACTAAAATCTTCCAGAAAAAGCATTCTGGTAGGCAGAGGGGTATAAAAAAGCCTGAAGTGTATCACCAGCCAAATCATTTACCTGTCCTGGTGACCACTACTCTGGGACAGAAGGTGACGGAAAATACAAAATTTTACACTTCCTACTGAAACAAAAGGTGAGCCGAAATCTTCCAACAGGGATACCTTTTCCCATGGCAACTGTCTAAAAGGAGATTTCTGCTCACTTTGGAAAGATTTTTTTTATCACATGTTGATGTGTTTCCAAGACAGGAAGTGAAGGTAAATCTCCCAAACTGGACACACACAGTAAAAAAGATCAAAAGAAAAGCTAACAAGCCAACAACAATCCAAAAACATGGGTTTTCGCTACAGTTTAAAGCTGGGCATATATGGATCTTTTGTTCCACAAAACGGATTTCCCCATCCACATATTTGAGGTGGATGGGGAAATCCTCCCTGCTGCATTATCGTACTCCGATAGCAGGGAATCCTCTGGTGTCAGAATACACAGATCAGCGCTGCAGCCAATTAGCTGCACACACCAATTGAACACACATTTTCTAATAGTTCCATTTCAGAGCAAGCATTTACTAGGTCGACTTCTCTCAAACGGAAACAGCAATAGAAGGATTGAAATTCAGCCAGTCCCTGCTGAACTGGCCAAATTTCAATCCATCTATGGCCTTCTTAAATGTGGGGTTCATACTTAATGAATATGTACACCCAACATTTCATATTCCTGGTATGTGCCTGCTGTACCATGTACTTTTATGAAAAAGTACCCTGTTCTCTTTGTATTGCTTCCTTTGGGTGATATCCCTGGTGTTCCTGTCAGTTCTTCTGCTTTCATAATAAAAACTGATCGCGCTAGGAAGGACAGCACAGCATGGTCAGTTTTCTGGCTGTGCTGGGAGGTAATCCAATGATCAGACTTGTGCTGACATGCCTTCACTACACAGCCATTCACTGGGAAGATCAGTATGCTGCTGTTTCTCCTCCCTGAACTCCTTATGCAGCTGAGAACAGAGATTATGTGATCACTTATAAAGAAAATGGGGGGGGGGGGTATTTATAATGCTTTTTTTATATCTATACACAAATGTTTTGTCTTTTATTCCCATTTCAAACTGAATGGTTTCTTTTACAAGGTAAGAGTTACATATCCTTTAAAGTCCCTCTCCTGCTGCCCCACTACACATACTTTCCCACCCCCAGCCCTCTAACTATTACTTAGTACCTTACAAATTGAATTGATAAAAAAATGTCCAGAGATGGGCTTAATTTTGAATGGAGAAATGGAACCTCATTTTACACCCCGGTCACATCGGGGTGTTGGCAAAATTTGCATGCCAGGCGACTTGCAAATTGTATGCCAAGTCGTATCCTATTGTCCGCTATTAGAGCGGTCATATTGGTGCGGTTCCGACTTGGTCGGGGCCGCACTGATTTCTAAAGTAGTGCATGCATTCCTTCTGTTGTGATTTGATTAGACATCTGTGCCAGATGTATGGCAAATCGCAAATGAAATCGGCAGGTCACCCGATTTTGAAATTGTGCGACTTACAGTGAAATCGCATGATTTCAAAATCGGCTTTGATCTGACCAGAGGCAGTTATATAAAAGAGGGCTATCTAAGAAACCATGAGAAATACAGGCAAGCAAAAAATAAAATGAGGGTACTCTATTAGTAAAAATGACATTTTTGATTCTGCATTCATTGTAAAAAATAAAAGTTAAAAAGACACAATCACACACTTTCAAGGTGCATACAAGGCAGCTATTACTGTGAGCTATCTGTCCTGACTCCCAGGAGGGTGCAGCTTCTGCAGAGTCAAAGGGATAGACTTAATTAAAAGCAATTCTTAAAGAAAACAAATGCTCTGTGCATCCCTTACTAATCATCACATCCAAAACATGGGGATGATTATACGAGGAGGAAGAGAGGCTTCTGAAGTTTCAGACTGCACCGAACAAAAAGTATGCATCTGGATTTGTTGATTTTCTCTAATTTTTACTGGTTTATTTTATTATTTATTTATTTCAGGTACTTATATAGCGCTGTCAATTTACGGAGTGCTTTACACATATATATTGTACATACACATCAGTCCCTAACCCTCAAGGGGCAGACATTCATATACTAGGGCCAATTTAGACAGGATCCAATTAACCTACCAGCATGCCTTTGGAGTGTGGAAGGAAACCAGGGTACCCGGAGGAAACCCACGCAGGCACAGGGAGAACATGCAAGCTCCAGGCAGGAGGTGCCTTGGCTGGGATTCGAACCAACGACCCGAGTACTGCCAGGCGGGAGTGCTAACCATTTAGCCACTGTGCTGCCCCGGTTACTGGTAACATTTTCTGGCTGGGTAATTTGTTTACCATGTATGTCCATTTTGTTTTTTTGCCTTGAGGAATTCATTTTCTATCGTGGCAAACTTTGTCGTTCAAAACTACAATGTCTATAGGGCCAACTCGCACCACCTCAGTCCAGTGAGTTTTTTTTTTCTCTGCATCAAAACGGAATGGACAGTAGGATACATGGATGCCAATGGCAAAGTTCACACCACTGCAGCACATTTCAGTACAGTAAACAAAAATAAAACATGCTGCAATGAACTGCACTGGAACGCAGCAAAATGCATCCAAAACGCACAGGAATGCATCAAAAATTACAAAAAACAAAACCCTAGGAAATTTGGGGGGGAAAAAAAAAAAAAGAAATGCTCTGGAAAGCATTGAAAACATATCAAAAACATGCAGAAAAGCATCTGGACTGTGTTTCTGTTATGTGAACCCTGTCCCAAGGACCCATTCACACTAGGAACTGTATTTGAATAGCACAGGTAGGTGCTGCATTTTCCTGTATGTTTCAAATGAAGTTCTGTGCAGTTTGATTTCAGCCATTCATTTTGGATGGGCTGAAATCACACTACACCCTGTTGCAAATTATTATGCAAATGATATTTTTCTCATTTACCTAAATAATTGATGTAAATAACAGTCAGCATAATTCTCATGTTATCAACTATTAAGAGTACAATTCACATTTTATTGAACAAACCTCCTAATGATAACAGGATTTTTTTTTAAACATAAAACACTTACAATGCACTGTTCCAAATTATTACGCACAGTAAGTTTCAAAACACTTTATAGGTTGTAAAGAACTGAAAATTGCTATTTGTTGTGTTTGCAGCATATTTACTGAAATTAAAAGCTATTTCAATCAAACTTTTAACAACATTTTAACTTTTTAAACATTTTAACAGGTCGCGTTACATTGTAACATAGAACCCCTTATTTGATAGCAGCTTCACAAG